AACTGTTGACCTTGGGCTTGGCAGCCCAACCTGTCATCCTCTCTGCCACCAGGACTTGGAAGAAATGTTGAGCCAGCCTTATTTTCAGCATTCCATGTAAACGTTCAATTCCCACGCAACAGCTGGAGAAACCGAGGGTCCGGGAGCTGCCCGTCTCATTGCTAGTGTAGTCACTGCCGTTGTGTCCATTTCAGCTGTGCCCTTGTAGGACAGAGTAGAACTGCCCCGTGGGAGGTGGGGGTGGGGGTGGGGGTGATTCCCAGGCTGCAAATCTTTACAGAAGCAGACAGTCTCATCTTCCTCCCATGGTGTGGATGGTGGGTTCAAACCACCAATCTGTCGGTTAGTAAGCTTGTGTTTAACCTGCTGTGGCATCGGGCTAATTTTAGCCAGCTAGCCAGGGCAAAACGTGGGTTTGAACTCACGGCTTTGAGTCGGTAGCCTGTGCTTTTTTATTGGGTCCCTTATGAAATTTCCATTCGGGCTCCCTTGTTGGTAGGGGTGGGGTGGACTGCTGATGTGCAGGGTGGGGTAGGGGGTGTCTGACCATCTCTGCAGTGCCCTCATGAACACCCGCATGATCCGTGGGCATTCTTTTACCTGCCAGCATCGGGACAAATTCATGGAAGAAAACATGGTTCAGAGTGGGTTCTGTCTGCTTGTTCCTACCAAAGGGGAAGATGTCCCACCCTCCCACCCCCCAGCCCTGCTCACAGGCTGTGTAAGGAGCCCAGCTAGGGGGACCCCTGGCTCAGAGTGTGAAACGACATCCTTGAAAACCAGGCTGCTTTTCAGGGGGTGTTGAGAACACCCCAGGGGGTGAGAGGATTGGGGGTGCATCCTCCAAAACCCATATCCTTGGCGTCCCCACCCCACCTCTGGGTGACTGTTTGGGCCAGCGTCTTGCGGTATCAGAATTTCACCAGCAGGTGGTGCTGCAACATCAGCCTGAAGCCTTAGGAGCCCGGCCTGACTTCTCCTCTTGTCTTCTGGAAGCCTCAGCGAACTGTGAAAGCCCTGTATGACTACAGAGCCAAGCGCAGCGATGAGCTGAGCTTCTGCCGCGGAGCCCTCATCCACAACGTCTCCAAGGAGCCAGGCGGCTGGTAAGGCTGCGTGCCGGTGGGCTCTGGGTGGCAAGGTTCATAGGCTGCCTATGCACCCTTTTATTGACCGAACTGCACACAGTCCCTGGGAAAGGCAGCCTGGTCTCAGCTCTGACGGGCACGGGGACGCACAAGGCCAGCAGTCCGTATCACACCCCTCATGGGATTTCCCTTCCTGCGTGGCATGCATGCTGCGGTCCCAGAGGCTGGCTGTTCAAATCCATGCAGCAGTGCCTCAGAAGAAAGGCCTGGCAACCCCTTCCAAAGGGTCACAGCTTTGAAGCCCCCCCGCCCCATGGGTCAGTTCTCTGCACACCTGTCCGAGTTGATCTGACAGCAGTTCACAGCATCACCCACTTAAATCTTGCGTTTTACTGTATCTCTGACTGCAGTCCCCGTTACCGGGACTTTGCCCCAGGGCAGGCACTGAGCCCGTTCTCATGTCTCTTGGGAGCAAGAAACAGTGACTGCTGTGACACTCGGTAGGAGGGGTGAGGCCTTGCAAGGTCACCCGACAGCCGAGTGGCTCTACCTGTTTGTCAGTCCTTTCCCTGCCCCTCGACTCTGCCAAGTGGATGTCCTTCTCCAGGGACTGGCCTCTCCGGACAATGTGTCCGCAGTACGTGAGCCCAGTTCTCAGCGTCCTCGTGTGTAAGAGCACGCCGACTGGACTTCTGGAATTGGTGGTGCTGGTGAAGAATACGGGACGCCCCAGGGACTGCCCGAAGAACAGGCAGCTCTCTCTCGGAAGAAGTACAGCCACCGTGCTCCTTAGACTTCAGGCGAATCGATTTGGACTTCCTTATTCAGACTCCAACTTGCACCTGCAGATGAGGCGGTTGAACATACCACCCATGGCTTGGGTCAGGTGCACCTTAGTCCTCAAAGTGACACCCTTGCCCTTTGACACCTTAACGTACTGCCTTGGGCAAATCTGTGCAAGGCCTTCTTTTGGGTGTTGAAGAGCAAGGGTGTCCCATCTCCGACTCGTCCTATTAAATCAGGCAAAGGGACATCCTTGCTCATCGACACCTGAGGACGGAGCGGTCTCGGGTAAATTCCAGTCCTTCTGGTTCCGAGATCTTCCTGCTAGCCCTGCTGAGTTCACCTACCCTCCTCTTCCCTCCCGCCTCCCCCAGCAGCTTGGGTGGGCGCCTGCTGTAGGATTGAGCATTTGTCTTCCCTCTGGGACCCCAGCTTCTCGGGACGGACACCCATGGGCAGCTTTTGCTGTGCCTGGTTTCTATCTAGGCCCCTCTGACTCCTGGTGAACCCCCTGAGGGAGCGGTGGGGGGGCTTCGCAGGGCCTTCAAGGCTGTGCCCTGCTGGAAGCTGATTGCCAGGCCTGTCTGCCCAGTGCCCCTGGGCAGGTTTGAACTACCCACCTGTGGGCTTGGAAGTCCAGTGGGTTTCTCCTGGGGACTCCAGCCAAATGGCAGGCTAGAGGAGGACAGCCCCTTGGTCTCCCCTCTCTGCCGTGGACATAGAGGACCCCCTGCAGCACCCACTGTCCCAGGTGGTCTGGCCAGCAGGCTGGGTCTGTGTGTGGGACTGGTGTGCTCACGCCAGCCGGGGAGGCCCTCTGATGCTGTGTGGCCCCCCTCCCCCCAGGTGGAAAGGCGACTACGGGGCCCGGATCCAGCAGTACTTCCCATCCAACTACGTTGAGGACATCTCTACGGTTGACGTTGAGGAGCTAGAAAAGCAGGTGTGTGTGTGTGTGTGTGTCTTCCTGACCAGGGACCCACCGGCCCTGTGTCCCAGGAAGCTCCCTGGGCCATCTGGGGAATCCGCGGAGGCCACCTCTGGGTTTGTGCTGTGGTCCTCCACGGAGCCCTGCTGGCAAAGTGGGTTGGTTACACGTAAGACTGCTAACAAGGTCAGTAGCTCCAAACCCCAATCTCGGAACCAGCAGGGGCCAGGTCTGCTCTGGCCTCTCGGCCACTCTGAGTCATAGTCAACTCCTGACAGTGAGTGCTGGGGCCCCCGGGCCACCCCTGGGTGTGCTGTGGTGTGGTGTGGTCCCTCCCAGTGCAGCTCCAGGACTCGGAGGACAAAGTGGCACAAGTTGGGAGTGCCCCCTGAGCGGCAGTGGGCAAAAGCCCCTCAGGTTTTCATCAGGAAGTGCCGGATAGTGCCGGATCCCCAGGGAATCCTCAGGACGGGTCCTGAGCCAAGAGTGGCCAGGAGGGAGTTTATCCTTTGCTTTAGCGGCAGGAAATGGAATGCATGTAGCTCTGATGGCCAGACGTGGGGGTGTGCTTGGTGTGTGTAAGCAGCAGGCAAGAGGTGGCCTCACTGCTGTGCCTGGCTGCCACCTCCTCCTCCCACCCCAGGGCTGCCAGGTGACGATGGACGGTGCTGCCCTTGTAGTGAGTGAGGGCCTGAGCCATCTTCCAGGCAGGCGAGGCATCTGGGAAGGCTTCCTAGAGGAACGGGCTTGCAAGCCCCCAAAATCCGGGTGGAATCCCACCGCAAGAAGCTGCAGATGATTCCCAGGGATGGGAGACCCCACACTGGCTGGGTGGTGGGACTTGGAAGGGCCTTGGCCGATGGGGGAGCCCTTGTAGTCCCCGGCACTCATGAGGAGATGGCCCCAGGGCAGTGTGTGTAGGGGGTGCTGGAACCTGCCAGGCGGTGTGGAGGAGCGAGAAGCCACATGGCCCCGCGCCCGCTCTGGTGATGACGGCCTGTCAGCAGGCTCAGGCAGCGTCTCCTCCACTCAGTAGAGGGCCTTCCCTGTTGCCCTACGAAGGTGAACACGAGCTATGTCTTGTTTCCCTGCAGATCATTGAAGACAACCCCTTAGGCTCTCTCTGCAGAGGGATCCTGGACCTCAATACCTACAACGTCGGTACGTGCATGCTGGCAGAGCCTGGGCCGGCCAGGGACCCCCAGAACCAGCCCTCAGCACCACCAGCTGAGCAGGGCCAGGGCGTGGCTGTTGTCTACCCACCTAGCCTGGGAGGTCCCTGCCTGCCTTGTTCCTGGCAGCAGCGGGGCTCATCACAGGTGTCTGTCAAGTGGTGGAACAGGGCCCGGGGCACCCCAAGTCCTGGGCAAGGGGCACATTTGTCATTAGCAAGCCCAGTTTCCCAGGGGCTGCCCACGACCAGCCTGAGTAGTGCTGGGAGGTGGGGGCCTGGCTTCTGAGCTCCACACCACCTCCCCCAGTGGGATGGGTGGGGCACCTCCCCTCGCTGAGTTTCCGTGTCCTTGCTGCTTGGCTGTGGGGTACAGCACACAGGCTGGCATGATGGGGCCTGGCTGAGTTCTGTGCATGGGTCTCCGGGCCCCTAGCTCACCTAGCGAGTGGGCAGGGTGAAGTTCCCATATGGAGTGGGGGCCCCGAGCCCACCTAGGACACGGGTAGTGGGGGGACTGAAGGCCATGAGGAAGGGAAAGGCAGGTGGACCGGAGCCCAAGGGGCTCTCTGCTCTGAGCAGGCAGTCCACCGGGCAGCAGCAGCCTCTCTGCCCATTAGCCTGTGAGCCCTCTGGCCCCCCTCTCCCACCACTGACACACACACAACACACAGCCTTTCCCAGCCCCCTGTACAGTCGCCGGGCTCCAGCAGTCTGGCCTCTGCTGCCTGTGCTTTGCGTCCTGTGTTTACTGGCCTTTGGGTTTTTGCCATGAGGTGCAGGTAGGCAGATAGGCAGACAGGCGGGTGAGCAGGAAGGAGAGGGCATCTTGTTCCATTAGCACCTGTGTTAGCAGGCTCAGGGTGCCATCTAATGTGGGGCTTCACACCACAGACACACAGGCTTAGTTTTTTTTTTTTTTGGGGGGGTGGCCAGAGTCTGAGATGAAGGTGTTGGGAAGAGAGCTTCCTAGGAGGGATTTGCCCTGGCCTGTCTCCCGACAGGCCCCCTGCCCCTCCTCCTACCAGGACAGAGGTCACCATACTTAGGGGTGGAGGGCACCTGGCCATCCAGGATGGCCTTTCTTGAATGGCCCCTGCAAACCCTCCGCTTCCAAATCCAGCCACAACCCTGGCTTGCCGGTCAGGACTCTGCGGACACCCCTGTGCAGCTGAGAGCCTCCCATGTGGAGGGACGTGGGGCCGGTGTCCATCCGTGGCTGGCTTGGCGTCCCGTGACCGACCTTGGCCCGGACTTGGCGGGCAGCAGACCGGCTGACGGGTCTCCCCCTTCCCGCCCGCAGTGAAGGCCCCCCAGGGGAAGAACCAGAAGTCCTTTGTCTTCATCCTGGAGCCCAAGAAGCAGGGCGACCCTCCGGTGGAGTTTGCCACGGACCGGGTGGAGGAGCTCTTCGAGTGGTTCCAGAGCATCCGGGAGATCACCTGGAAGATGGACACCAAGGTGGGGCCCGCTGCCTGCCTGCAGGTGGCCTTGTAGGTAGTGACCAGGCAGCAGGAGAGGGGAACAGGGTTCCCCAGGGTCCCTCAAGAGCCCGGTCAGCTTGCTGTCCGGGGCCCATCTGGCTTCCCTCCTCCTAAGGAGGTGGCAGGGTATCTCCTCCCACAGGGAGGGCCCGCGATAGCCCGGCCCTCTCCCGGAGGAAGTCGGCTCTGGTGGCAGGCGGTGGAGTCAGCCCTCGTGCTGGGGATCTGCCAGCATTCGCTCGGCTGGCCTGGGTGAGAGGGCTGGGTGGGGCGAGTTTGGACAAAGAGTGAAGCCCTTGTCTGTAAGGTGGGGAGCCAGAGGCTTCCCCTGGGAAGATAACAGTGGTGCAGACCAAGATGGTGGGTGCTAGACTCAGCATGCAGCAGAGGGCCACCACCCCCACCCCCCACCCCCGGCATGTCCTTGTCACATGGTGGTTGGGCCTGGTGACGGGGAGAAGGGCTGCCTTACCATGCCCTTTCTCATGGCTGCAGAGCTGGAAGTTGGTGGGTTCCTGGTGTCCCCCCTCCCATAGCACAGCTTGACCTCAGGTGTGGCTTTAAGAGCTCCCCAGAGCCTGTTAGCACCCATGGTGGCTTCCTTTCTTTTAAGGTCCCAAGAGTAGTCACCAGTGGCCCTGACTCACCTTGTAAGTCCCCGAAGTGTTGTTTCTTCTTTGGGAGACTCTCACTGATGGGGCCCAGCACCCTTGCCCTGCCCCAGAGAGACTGAGGCAAAGGAAGCCTCGTCCCTTGACCTTTGTCCCCTGACCCTGTGGCTCAAAGTTGCACTGCAACCCTCTCACTGGAGCAGCGGTTCTCAGCCTTCCCAATGCCGCGACCTTTATACAGTTCCTCGTGTGGTCGTGATCCCCAACCAGAAAACTATTTTTGTTGCTACTTCATCACTGTCATTTTGCTACTGTTATGAATTGGGAGACCCCTGTGAAAGGGTCATTCGACCCCCAAAGGGGTCTTGACTCACAGACTGAGAACCACTGCCCTAGAGGGATGATGCCCCCTTCAGGAAATGGGGGGCCAACCACCAGCCCCTGAGATGACCCACTTCTTCCTCCTGAAGTTCAGGCGAGGAAGGAGATGGTAGATCCATTTCCCAGGTGGCAGTTAGTCCCCACCGTGGGCACCATCAGTCGTCCCGGGCCTGTCATTTCTGCCCATCCCTCAGCCCCTCCTGCCTGCTGAGCACGGTCCTGGGGCAGGTGATGTCCTTTAGATCTTGAACTGAGGAGACCCTCCCATTGTGGGGGAGAGAATTGAGCCAAGGAGGCAGGCTTGGTTTCCAGGGTGTCTCAGGCTGGAGGCTCAGGGCTCCACTAGATCTCTGCATCCCAGTGAGCCTGGACTTTTAAAAATCATTTTATTGGGGGCTCATACAGCTCTTACCACAATCCATACATACATCCGTTGGGTCAAGTGCATTTGTACCTATGTTGCCATCATCATTCTCAAGCTGTTTGTATTTTCTTTTTGTGATTCTTGGCCTTTGCGCCACGTCTTACTCCTCCTCTCTAGGTTCCACCTGAAGGTGCCTGCCCCCCCCGCCCCCATTGCGTTATAACGGACTCTCTGAAGCTCAGGGTGGCTGTCCCAGGCTTTGGTTCTCGGTGTTTGATCTCTGTCCCCCCTTAACTGGTTGTTACTGGTGCTAAGATTTCCTAAGCAGAAAGTCTCTTGAAGCCTTACCATTAATCACACTTGAAGGTTAAAAAACGGGAGTCGGCACAGTGGCCCATGTCCACGCTCAGGCTTGTGTGCCCCATAAGGCCCCCTCCTCCCTTGCGGGGTGGAGCCAGCTTGGGGTTAGCACACAGCTCCTCCACAGGCCTCCTGGTGTCTGTCACCAAGGTCGGGGCCAGGTCTCAAGTGCACATCACCAACTCCAGTTCCCTTCCCCTGGGTGAGGCAGGCCTCTCAACCTGGTCACTGCCTGCTCCCTGGGACAGGGCCACCTGCAGGGCCAGCACTCGGAGGCTGTGGGTCAGCGGGGATGCTGAGTCCATGCTGGCTCCGAGGCCCCATGGGGCAGGGTGGAACTAACTGCCCCCATGGGGTTCCTAGACCCTCACTTGACAAGAGTAGAAAGTCGTGTCTTTCTCCCGAGCCAAACCCTGTCAAGGTCTGTTTTTCTGCTTTGAGTTTTTTTTTTTGTTTTGTTTTTATGGAAACCTTGTGTTTCCAGCCACGGGGAGCCTGTTGAATGAAATGGGGGGGGGGATTGTAAGTTGAGGGTGATTTGGGTACACTTACTTAGACATGGGGGTATTCCAGCTCACTGGTACTGGAATTGGTGTGGGGGCAGTTTCTGCAGCATTGTGCAGGTATACAGCTCCCCCCACTACACACACACCACTCAAAAGTAGGGTAGCAGTATCTCACTACACCCTGGAGGAACAAAAGTGGGTCCCTGCCCTGCTGTGCAGCCTGCAGTCAACGGCTTAGCCTTTGTGCATGTGTGTGTGTGTAATATGTGGACTGACTGAAGCACCAGGGTGAGACCGTGATCTGGGGCCCCCAGGTGGTGTGTACTCTACACTCTCCAGGGCCCATCGCAGCCCAGGAGACAGTGGAAGCATCGAGGGAGCCCTGAAAGGGGTGCCAGCTGGGGTGCAGTGAGCCGTCCACCCTGACTCAGGAGTTGGCGTTGATAGCCTGTGGGCCTGGATCCAAGAGAGCCCCACCTGCCCAGGGCCAAGGGAAGGGACGGGTGCAGGGGACAGCTGGATCCCGTGAGCCTCAGGCTCGTGTGAGGACCCAGGTTTTGAGAAGCGGAGTCTGACAGACTTTAACAGTGCAGCTACCAGGGGCTAAGGAGAGAGGGCTCATGCTCAAGAAGTCTCTCTCCCTTCTACTTGGTGGTGAAGGACTGACTAGACACAGACGGGGGTGGGGAAAGAGCTGGGTCCAGACTCTTGGCAACTAGAGGAAGCGGGGAGAGCAGGGGCTGGCTTCAAGACAGAAGCCATTGGGCTGAGTCTGCAGGAGGGAGACGAGGATGGAGGGGAGTGGGGACTCCGCTGGGAGGGAGGCAATGTATGCAGAGATAGGAGCTGGGAGGAGGAGGAGGTGGGGTTTTCGGGGTGTGGCTGGGGCTGACCCTTGGGTGCCTTACCCCACACAGGAGAACAACATGAAGTACTGGGAGAAGAACCAGTCCATCGCCATCGAGCTGTCCGACCTTGTCGTCTACTGCAAACCCACCAGTAAAACTAAGGACAATTTAGGTAACTCCTTCCCGGGATGAAGATTTCCGAGAGCCCGGTGGTGGTCATGAGGGCAGGCTGGGCGTGTGTAACTGCTCCAGACGGGATGCTGGACACCTCAGGGGGGTTTCCTAGGCCTCCCAGGGTAGGTGCCTTTTTCCTGCAGGGCTGTGAACTGGTTCACCTGAGGTCAGTCATGACCAAGGACCTGAACCCTCCTGAATGTTAATCTGTGTGAGCTGGGGTGAGAAACACAGCTCTAGAGGAAATGTACACGTCGAAGCCCTGCTAGAAGCATCATCCCCTTCATGGGGCAGCATGGGCACTGCTGCATGGCAGCCAAGTCTCTTGCCCTGCAGAGTGGGAAGCTGTGGTGCCCGGCTCAAAGATGGCAGCTGACCACACTGCTTTGAATGCATGTGGCTCTCCCCAGTCCTGCCAATAATCCCACCCCTCACTGGTCCCCTTCTGGCTCTGGTTACCCTTCCTGTATGGCAGACTGTTAAAAGTGTGGGTCTTCTCCAGTTTCCCTTTGCCTAACTCGGCTTAGCTGGTTCACAGCCCTGGGATCCGGTTGCCACTGAAACAAGTGATCACAAAATCGGTGGCTTAAAACAACAGTCATTATTAACTTTTTTGTGGGAGTCAGGTGAAGGTTTAACATTGAGCAGTTCATGCCTTTCTGTTGCATCAATCACAACCCTCTCAGTGTAATGTCACTCATCCCATTTGCCCCCATGTGCTTCCTGTCTTCCTTCCTTCCTTGTTTCTGTTCTCTGTCCTTGGACTGATGCTTCCCTTTGGATCATCCCTGGTTCTTTGGAGGGTGTCACCTCCCTGCTGTGCTCGTGTGGCTAAGTCTCCGAGCATGCCTTGGCTGGTGGCCCCATCACTCCAACCCACACTGCCTTCTCCGTTTTGTCCAGTCTCTTATAAAGACCTGCCTGGATCATCCAGGGTCACCTCCCCATCTCAGAGGGCAAGCTCACCACATCTGCAAAGTCCCTTGGGCCATGTTTTATACACGGTGACACTTCCTGGGTGGTTAGGATCTGGTCTTTTCTGTGGGTCATGATTCGGCCGATTACTTAGTCAACTTTGGACTCAGTGGCCCTGTGGACAGAGTACTGCCCCTGTGGGTTTCTGAGGCTGTAGCTCCGTATGGGAGCAGAAAGCCTCATCTTTCTCTCATACAGCAGCTAGTGGGCCCAAACTGCCGACCTTGAGGCTAGCGGTCCAACGCATAACCCACTGTGCCCATCGAGGGATTAAACAGTGACTTTTCTATCAACTCCAAAGCACCACGTTCTCTGAGGTGGTGCTCACACTGCTGCTTGTTCATTTCATTAAAAAAAAAAAAATCTCGTGGGGACTTTTGAGTCGCAGGCCAGAGCTGCAGGTAAGAGGCTGGGCCCTCAGTGGCCCCACAGGCCTGGGGAAGATGGGAAAACTCACTCAGAATGGCGCTCAGTTGTGTGTTTTCCTCCTTGGAGGGGAGAGAGGAGCCGTGCCAGGAAAAGGCTGCCCATCACATTCCTCCCTGGGGCAGCAGTGGGCTCTGACCCCACCAGGCTGCTTGCCTCACACCTCTGGGTCTAAGATGACCTTGAAGAGGTCAATCTCTTCCCTGCACATCTGCCCCAGACCATCTCCCCTCGGAGCTGCTCAGCATTTGTGTGTTATCTCATCAAGGCTCGTGGTGGTTGTAAGCCAAATCCTCTACTCCTCCATCATCCTCAACTGCTGCAATGCACACACCCCCCCCCCACCCCCCATACAGACCCACCCTTCCATTGCCCATTCAGAGCCTGGGGTAAGAGGGGGCCTTGAATGTTTGGTCAGAGCGGGTTTCCTGCATCTGACCACCATGGGGGCCGGGCCCACCCTGACCAGGCCGTCTCTGTGTGCCGCAGAGAACCCTGACTTCAGAGAAATCCGCTCCTTCGTGGAGACCAAGGCGGACAGCATCGTCCGGCAGAAGCCCATGGAGCTCCTCAAGTACAACCAGAAGGGGCTGACCCGCATCTACCCCAAGGGCCAGAGGGTGGACTCCTCCAACTACGACCCCTTCCGCCTCTGGCTGTGTGGCTCTCAGATGGTGGCGCTCAACTTCCAGACGGCAGGTAGTGAGGGCCAGCGGCTGGGCAGCGGCGTGGGCTGGGTGTCCCCGGAGGGGGGCGGCGGCACTCTGTCCTGCTTCAAGGTAGCAATTCTGACCAGTCGGCTTCACCTGTCACTTGAGATAAAAGGGTGTTTCTGTCACAGTGTGTCTGAAGAAACATGTAGCTTTCGTAGGTGCTTTTATGCTTTTATGGGTCTGGGTCAAACTGGAGCCTGTTTTTTTTCTTTTTTATCCCATTATTTTCTTCTTATCTTAAAGTCCCACCGTCCCTTTGTCTGGAGTGCGGTTTCAACAACTGCCCAATTAATTTTTTTGTGGGGGGCTGAGGGAGGAAGTGGAAGTGCCAGGATGCCCTGAACCCACATGATTAGTGGGCGGGGCTTGTTTCCCCACCTAGACAAGTACATGCAGATGAACCACGCCCTCTTCTC